GAGGGGCGGGGCCTGGAGGGCACGGGGCTGGGGCTGGGGAGGGGACACAGGAAAGGACATTGCCTGGGGTGAGGGGTGGGTCTGGGGGACAGGGGGGCCTGGGACACGGGGCCGCCACTGAGCATCCATACACCCTTGCAGCAGTGCATGGGTCCCGGCAGGAGGAAGTGATCGACCACAGGCTCACGGAGCGGGAGTGGGCAGAGGAGTGGAAGCATCTCAACAACGTGAGTGTCCAGGCCCGGGCCGCGCGACTCCTGGGGTTCCGCCCAGCCTGTGGGGCCCTGGGGCTGGGGGGGTGGGGAGGTAGTGGGGGGGACAGGGTCACTGTGGGCTCCGCTTTGCTAGGCGCCTACCTGCCTCAGCTGGAACTCTGCTCCTGGTCAGCCCCTCAGAACCTTCCCATCTCTGCCCTACAGAGCCTCCCCTGTCTCCGGAGCAAGGTGGTTTGGTGGGGGTTGGGACACCTTCCACACTGTTTTTGGGGTTACCCCTCCCCCGCTTCCTTTGTGGAAAGGGAGCCCAGGCAGGTGTGGTCCCCAGAGGAGTTCAGGCCCATCTGCTGTCCCCAGGGCAGAACACAACCAGGAGAGTTGAAAGGAGAGCCCCAGACTAAAAGCCTGGTCTTCACCCCCCCCACCCCCATGCTTGGTGCCTTTCCAGGCGGTGGGAGGCGATTTTCACACTGTGGCTCTAAGCTCACTGTGGCCAGCCCTCGTGGACAGCGGGCTGGCCCAGGCCCAGGGTGTATGAGAAGCTCCCTGGACGTGCCCCACACTGAGCAGCCACACGCAGCCCCGCATGCTCACCACCGCCCGCCCGCCCACAGCTTCTGAACTGCATCATGGACATGGCTGAGAAGACACGGCGGTCACTCACGGTCCTGCGCCAGTGCCAAGAAGCCGACCGCGAGGAGCTCAACCACTGGATCCAGCGCTACAGTGACACTGAGGACGCCAAGAAGGGCCCCGTGCCTGCCACCGCCCGGCCCCTCAACAGCTCCGTGGGCGCAGAGGGGCCTCAGCTGGGTCCGTGCCCAGGGGGCACCACGGGGGGCGGGGGGTGCACTGCAGGGGCGCCAAGGACCGAGACTCGCACCCCCATTGTGGCACCACAGTAAAATACAACCCAAGAGTTTCCCTGGAAAAGGAGGTGCCTTTTCTGCTCTGCGTAAAGCTACGCCCCGAACCACCAGAAGCGCAGACTTAGGGAAGATGACCACGGAAACCAGGACAGGCCCAGGTCCCGGCCGAGTCCAAGGTGCTCCAGAGCATCCTCTTTCCTGACATTGCCCTGCCCCACACCAGCAGCAGATACATGGTTTCCACCCAGGGGCACGTCGCGGGACCCCCCCCCAAGGGCACACACCACGTCCCCCTTACCCAGCTGAGTATGGCCCTGTTCTGTGCGTGACGCTGGCATCCATGTTTCAGACACCCACCGGGAGTTCGTGCCTAGGACCCTCTCTGGCTACATGCCCGAGGAGATATGGAGGAAGGCTGGTGAGTGCAGTTGGCTGGGGGGTGGCGTGGGGGGTTGGAGGGGTGCCCTCCTTGCCCTGTCATCTGCAGGGAGCTTCCGTCTGCATGGGGCGCTCAGGTGGCCAAGCTCACAGGGCTCTACAGACCCTGCAGGAGGGGTGGGAGTGCACCTAGTGTTCAGGGTAGGACATCTGGCACCTGACATGTGCAGGGAAACGAGGGTGCCGCTCAGCAGAACAGAGCAGGTCCCTGGGTCCTACACGCACACGCATGTGCACAGACACACGTGTGACAGAAAATGAGAGCTGGAGTACCTGTGGCCTTCCGGGTGTGGCATGGAGCAGCGTGCGGGGGATGCTCCCTGCATCGAGGGGACACACTGTGGGGAGGGCGGGGCGGAAGGAGGAGCCAGTGGGCAGCTTGAGAAAGAGAGACAGGGAGAGGGGGCTCAGCTGGGGTGGCGCCGGTGGAGAGAAGCAGCAGGGTCCCTGAGATGTTTTGATCCGTGGATGGAGTCAATGTGAAGCGTAAGGAAGAGGGAGAAAATCGCAGCATCTTGAGAGCAGAGAGAGGAGAGCGTCCCACCCCAGGCGCAGAGGCCAAGGGGCCACAGACCGGCTGCAGCTGCCTGGAGCAAGGTGGGGGAAGGCCCAGGCCCGGACAGGAGGATGGGGTCCTCGTTTCCCTTGGCCTGTCCCCTCTGCCTCCATCTGGCCCGTGGTGGACCCTTGGCAACAGTGACATGGTGCCCGGTGGTGACTTGGGGGACCGGCAACTCTGCCACACCCAGCACAGAAGGCTCCTTAAGAGGAGCCCTGCTCAACACCACCCCAGCCCCTCACACCACTGCAGGAAGGGCACTGCCAGGGAAACTGAGGCAGGCCTGAGCGGCCGTGGGTGGTCTGCCAGGGCTGGAGAGCACAGCGGAACCCAAGCAGACGCTCTGGCCGTAGGCAGACAGCTCAGCTCACGACAGCAACACCAAGGACGGCGCGCTTCTCTCCAGACCGGAGCAGGCTGGAGGCCGCAGGTGTGGGTGACAGAGGGCTTGGGGGTGACAAGAAGGCGGAGCCCTAGACGGGGCACCCCTGGACTGCTTCCGTACCAGCGACAGGGGAAGCCGACTGTCCACGGCTCTGGTTCTCAAAGGGGGTGCCGACACTTGCAGCATCAGCCTCACTTGGAACTCGTGGGTTCCAAGGTTCTTCCTCCCCACGCCCGTGGCGTCCACGTCAGGGGTGGGCCTGGCCACGCCCTCCAGGGCAGTGCCACGGCACACTAAGGTCTGGGAGCACTAGGATAGGGCCAGGCTCGGGAGACGCCCCCACGACCAGGCTTGCACACGTGTGCCCGGCCACTGGTGCACAGGGCCCGCCCACAACACAGGGAGGCCCGGCTGGGCTGGGCCACGGGACCACGGCCCACGTGTCCTTTGCAGAGGAGGCGGTGAATGAGGTGAAGCGGCAGGCGATGTCTGAGCTGCAAAAAGCCGTGTCGGACGCCGAGCGAAAGGCTCACGAGCTCATCAGCACAGAGCGCGCCAAGATGGAGCGGGCCTTGGCTGAAGCCCGGCGGCAGGCCTCGGAGGACGCCCTGACCGTGGTCAACCAGCAGGAGGACTCCAGTGAGGTAAGGCCACCCGCCCGCCCCCCACTCCGGCCCCAGCCTCTGGTCCAGGCCCCGAACCCTCACTCTGTTGCCTCCCCGCCTCACGACCTCAGGCAGCCGGCGAAGTGGGTCCTTGTGGTGTCCCCGTCGTGCTGACGTGGACCCCGAGGGCTCCAGGGGTAGGTGGCTTGCCCCGGGCCGCGCCCCAGGATGTCATGGGCATTATCCAGACCTAGGCTGGCAGGCGCCGAGCCCATGCTCTTGCTAACCTGTGAAAGCTGGGGGCACGGCGCGAGTGGAGACCGCGGGGGTGTCTAGAGGGCCTCGTCAGCTACCGCCCGCATGCGTGCACTCCAGGGGCCTGAGCATCACGTCGTGCTGGCTCCTGGGCATCAGAGGCTGGGCGGGGTCCGCAGGGCGGGGGCAGGGGGTGCCTCTCCTCCTCGTCCAGAAGGACTCTCACGTCAGAGGAGTCGGGGGAGGGGGAGAGGTTTTCCTCTAGAACTGTCCTTTGGAAGGGGACTTGTCTCCAGACCTCTGGTATGTGTGTGCGTGGATGGGCCCAGAGGGTCAGCTCGTGTGTCTGCAGCAGCTGCTGCAGCAGGTACTCCGAGCTCCGGAGCGGCAGGCGGGTCAGAACGGGCAGACCGCATGGAGGCAGGTGCCAGGGAAGGCAGCAGGGCAGTGACATGTGAGCAGAGTCGTGCAGGAGGTGAGCGAGCCGGGCAGGGATCTGGGGAGCAGAGCGAGGAGGGAGCAGCAAGCACCGAGATCGGGGCACGCTGGGCGGAGTGAGGACCGCAAGGAGGCCGGTGTGGCCGAGCAGAGCGAGCCAGGAAGCCCAAGAGGCCTCGGGGGCCAACTAGACACTGGGCCTTCCTCCTGGGGCGGGCGTGGGCTCCCCGACCCTCAGCCTGGCTGCCAACTCGGGTCTCTCCCAGTATCCCTGCCCACGTTCTGCTCACGTGCGCGGCTGAGGTTACCGCTCGTTCCACAGAAAGGGAGCAGAAGCCCCATGGTGGGGGGCAGGGGGTGCCTGGCCGTGCACCCTGCACTGGAATCTGGCCGTCTTTACCCAGCCAGGGTGCACATTCTGGGCTTGAGCCCAGGTAAACCAGGAGGGCTTCCTGGAAGAGGGGACAGGCCGTGGCTGCCTTCCCTCCTGAGGACCCCGCGGTCCTGTAAATGCTGCGTGGACCTGACTGGGGCAGGCTGGAGTTGTGTGCCTCGGCGGTGCGTGCCCAACCCCCACAATGGCCCAGCCAGGGGCCCGTGGCCGCTGGGGGCCGCCCCGGCCGGCCCGAGTGGGGGTGTTGGCAGCGTGTGCTGCCCCAGTCTGCGGCCGGGCTGGGCACCTGGGCTTCGGGGCCCAGCGTCCGCCCTGCGGCCGCCCGCTGACCCTGTCCCCCCCACCCAGAGCTGCTGGAACTGTGGGCGCAAGGCCAGCGAGACGTGCAGCGGCTGCAACGCAGCCCGATACTGCGGCTCCTTCTGCCAGCACCGGGACTGGGAGAAGCACCACCACGTGTGCGGCCACAGCCTGCAGGGCCCCGTGGCCGCCGTGGCCGACCCGGGGCCCGCGCAGCCCG